AGTCTGTTGCCAAAAAGTTGGGAGGAAAAGCTCCTAAGTGAGGTTGGTTTTGGGAAGGCTGATTGTTTGGTTTGTGCCCTGCAGCTGGGAAAATGAGATTGTTCTCAGGTTCGTTTAAACTTCATAATGAATACTTGTGATTGAGCAGTGCAGCCTTTCTTGGGAAGATGGACATGGTCACAAGCATGACTCTAGGAGGAAAAAGCAGGAAGTCTGATGGATGGGGAGAATAAAGTTATTCTAATATGAAAACAAGCTTTTTGTGAAAGTTTGCTAGGATTTCTTTTTATTTGCCATTTCCAAAGCAAGAGGATGTGAGTGGGTGTCCTGAGACTCTGAGCGTGTGTGTGATGAGAACAGAGCAGCAAGGTTTTGAGTCCTCATCGTGCCTGAGGCAAGCTGGGACATAACTTTTAATAAGTTCTCCTTTAACCACATCCGGTCATATTTCCATACCGAAATGTTTCTGTTTTTAGAAACAGTTTTCCTTGCAGCTCTCTAGATTTCTCAGGTGCTAATGACCTTTGGCTTGGTGAGGTTTTGATAAACCATAGAATGGGTTGGGTTGAAGGGACCTTTGAAGGTCATCTAGTCCGACCCCCCTGCCATGAGCAGGGACAGCTTCAACGAGATCAGGTTGCTCAAAGCTTCTTCCGACCTGACCTTGAACATTTTGAGGGATGGGGCATCAACCACCTCTCTGGGCAACCTGGTCCAGTGTCTCACCACCCTCATCGTAAAACATCTCTACCTTGTATCTAGTGTAAATCTCCCCTCTTTTAGTTTAAAACCATCACCCCTTGTCCTATAGCAACAGGCCCTACTACAAAGTCTCTCCCCATCTTCCTTGTCCCCCCCTTTAAGCCCCGGGAGGCCGCTCAAAGGTCCCCCTGGAGCCTTCTCTTCTCCAGGTTGAACCCCCCCAACTCTCTCAGCCCGGCCCCCCAGGGGAGCTGCTCCAGCCCCCCCAGCATCTCCGTGGCCTCCTCTGGCCCCGCTTGAGCAGCTCCGGGTCCTTCTGCTGTTGGGGGCCCCCGAGCTGGCCCCAGCACTGCAGGGGGGTCCCCCCAGAGCGGAGCAGAGGGGGACAATCCCCTCCCTTGACCTGCTGGTCAAATCACTTGCTTTTTCCCTTGAACCTGGGTGGTGTTTCCTCTGTTGCTCCCTCCATCTTTCCAGGAAACAAAAGTCCTGTTTCTTTTTGTTTATTAACAGGAATTTTGGGTGCATACCCAGACACATGCAATTCATTTGAAGAGTCCACGTGGGTTTTAATACCTTGCCTGCTAAAATCAGTATTCCCTTACAGCTGATCTCTAGCCAGGGCCACCGTACCAATGCAGTGTTGTGCCTGATGGGTTACGTTAACTTCATCTTTGCCCGCGGTCCGTTCAGCGTAAAGGAATTAGCGAAGCAGATTTGGTATTAATTCCCCAAATGTTCCCAGCTGAAAGTGGCTGCCGTGCTAAGCAAATATTGCAATGGGTTTGGAGCCCGCTAAAACGTTTCAGCTGCAAAGCCCGTGCTTCTCTCGTCCTCTGCAAATATTACAGCCTGAACAGCAGTCTTGCTCGGGGTCACAGGTAAAGCACTTTTGATCAATTGGATTTATTTCCTATTAAGCAGCAGTTCATGATCATAAACCATCGTTTACATTCTGGCATAAATAGCCGTCTCTCTTGAAAGAGCTCAGAACTGAATGAGTGTGAAAATTAAATTCCCCTCTTAAACCGAAGGATGGTCCTTTTGGAAGCTGATTCCAGTAGCAATATAATTAACCTCTTGCTGTGCCATTCTGTGTGAACATATTGAACACGCTCTGTGATAATCATCCCGTAATACTGGTGTCTGCTTTCACACTGAATTCGTAACAGTATTACAGTAATCCCAAATCCTTTTGTTAACTCCAGGGACTTGGCCAAGTTAGTAGCCAGAACAAAAGGCACCGGAGCCGCGCGGCTCAGGGCTGATGTCTTGCAGGTGCTTCCAGCGTAATGGGAAACTCCAAAATTATTTTGCTTTTGGGTATGGGAGCGGTGATGAAACTTTGTTCAGGTTCACCCACAGATTTATCCTCGTTGCAAGGTCTTTCAATGCACGATCCATTAATTTCACTCTTGAAAGATCCATGCGTGATTTGGGTAGGTCCACAACTTCTTCTTGAGCTGCAAGAAGCTTTTTTAAGGCCATTGGAGGCTGAGCTACGCTGGCTTTTAGTGACTCTTAGCCTTTAGGTTCTGGGACCCTTCCTTTTTCTCGCAAATTATTCAGTGTAATTGCTATTATATGCTCTCTGCTCCCGCATCTGGTCCCCAAACCAGCTGCTGCCCTCTTGTTTCAGCCCATCTTCTCTCTGTCTTTCTCGTTTTTTTTCCCTCCATTTGCTGCATCCTTCTCACCCAGGGAAACACGGTGTTGGGGATGGGGATATCCTCAGGGCCGCTGCGTGCCGCCGTTCCCCTCCCACCTGTGCACCCAACCACGAAAGTCTCTCTGAGAAAGCAACGCTTGGTGAAAGGGTGGGGTGTGCTTCTTTACATCTGCCTGTCTACGAGGGTAGTTCGCTCTCCTGGTTTCAGCGAGGATGCTGTGGGCCGGGCTGTTTTATCGGCAGCTGGGATCAGCTTTCTTTTTTCGTCAGGCTCCCCGTGCATCCTCAGCAGCCCCCGACGTGAGGGCTGTGCAAGCACAGCGCAGCTCGCGGCAGCCGGATCACCGCGTTACCCTCCGAGTGCTGTTTGCGAAATACCTGCGGCTACGCGCAAGCCCAACGCTGGAACCAGGCGAAGCCGCTGCCCGTCTCGACAGAAGAAAACAAAACTCACCCTAAAAGCAGATCTAACCTCTGCTAGGTTGCTGCAGAGCCTCTTGCCATGGAGATGCGCTGGCAGAGCTGTCTCGGACCTCCTTGATAGACTCCAGCCACTTGTGTCCCTTCAAACCCCATCGTTCCTCAACTCGACGCTGCTCTCCACCTCAGTCATAAGTGCGACGATACTTAGGAATAAATATACTGGAAATAAATACACTTAGGAAAAAAAATCCTCGTGCGCTTGGATGGCACACCGTTTTAAAATTCACTGTGTTTAAGGAAAAAGAACGCGTGGCACCTCCCGTCTTCCAAGTGCCTTGCAAAGTTTTGTCGCAGACCCTACAGCAAAACCGTGTCTTTGTATGTTGTTTTGTTTTCCCGTCAAGAAATCGAGCTTAAGGTAGGCCTCAACCGAACCACCTGTTTTACAGTTGGGTAAAAAAAGGAATGGGAGAAGAAGGTAGAACGTAGGGGTTTAAATTCTGGGATTTTTAGTTTTCCTCCTGTTCCGATAGCGTGACATCGCTTCTCTTTAGAGAGGAATTTTATAGCAGTATTTAAGGTCTCGAGTCCTTCACTAACGAAGAATCACAAAGATAGCATTGTTTCTGCTGCTGTAGGAAAGCAGGTAACACAAGGCTCTGGGTTGGTCACAGGGGTGATGGTTAGGACCCCTAATCCCTGTGATCTGCTGTCACAGCGGGGAGGGGAGCTGGCGCGTCCTTGTCGTCAGAGCTTCCCGCCGTGGGTTTGCTGTTGAGGTGGTTCCTGGCTGCAAACCCCCTTTTTGCCAACAAATTTGCCCTTTGTCTGCTGGTGGGAGCTCACCGTGGGGGGGGACGACAAGGATGATGCTTTGGATTTTCCCTGGATTTTCCCTCTGTCTCTGCACGCTGCTTTGCTGGGAAGCGGAGGGCTGGTGGGTATCACAGGCAGTGACAACCTTGACAAGGCTTAGTGAGTCATTTGGCTTGCAGTGCGGATGAGAAAATGTGTCTTCCTTGGGGTGATCTTGTTAAACTTCTCTTTGATAGCACTGCCTGTGCCTCCAGTTTACCGGCAGGTTTGGACCAGGACTGCTGCAAGCAGCTCCTTGCACGCTGGAGAAGTTCCCTGCCGGTGTCGCGGTTGTAAAATTTCCTTTTCTCCTAATAGTCCTTGATAACTTAAGCTGCACATTTCCATTTCCCATATATTTCAGATATAAAGAGCCAAGGAGCTTGCTGTGGATTTGTGTTATTGCTGCTGTTGTCTGGATTCTTTTTGGCTTATATTTGTCATCTTGATATCGAGTTGTTCTGAAGCTGCACGTGGCGTTTTAGTATAGAGCAGTCCAATTGGAAGGGACCTACAACGATCATCTAATCCAAGTGCCTGATCACCTCAGGACTGACCAAAAAGTTACAGTGTGGTATTAAGGGCGTTGTCCAAATTACTCATAAACACTGGTAGGCTTGGGGCATCAACCACCTCTCTGGGAAGCCTGTTCCAGTGTTTGCCTGCGCTCTCAGTAATGTTTCCTAATGTCCAGTCTAAACCTCCCCTGGTGCAGCTTTGAACCATTCCCATGTGTTCTATCACTGGATCCCAGGGAGGAGCTCAACACCTTCCTCTCCCCGTCCTCTTCTCAGGAAGCCGCGGGAGCAATGAGGTTGCCCCTCAGCCCCCTTTCTCCAAACTAAACCAGCCCAAAGTCCTCAGCTGCTCCTCACAGGACGTGCCTTGCAGCCCTTTCACCAGCTTCGTTGCCCTCCTCTGGATGCTTTCAGGTACCTTCACGTCCTTCTTAAATTGCGGGGCCTGAACTGCACACAGTCTTCAAGGTGAGGCCGCTCCAACACTAGAACTAGAAGAAAGCTAGTCAGCAGTTGCACTAGATGGTCGCTGTAGATCCCTTCCAACTGGAACTCTTCCTCCTTCTTTCCTCCTCCTGCTTTCCTGTCAACACAGCAGGATAATAGCCTTTTTTTGACCGGCTGGTTGTACTGTGTTGGCTGCACCCCAGGATGCGGTTTGCCCCCTTGGCTGCCAGGCTATGCTGCTGACTCGTAGGGAGCCTG